CGGCCAGCCGCACGCGCGCTGCGCGTCCCCCTCGCCCCCAGGTGAGGAGTAGGCAGTCGCTGGGTCGGGCGGCTCAGCGCGGCGGGCAGGCGCGAGAAGCCGCAGCCGCCACCGAGGGCGGCTTGGGCGCTGTCTGGTGGGGCGCAGAGGGCACGTGTGCGCCGGTGTGTACGCGGGGGAGCGGGTGCGTGCGTGCGGCTCTCCCGAGGGCGGCCCAGGCGGGCCGACCCCGTGGATTTATACTGGAAGGGGATCCCGCTGGTCCGGGACTCCCGGTGGGACCGCGCAGGGAATCCCCGCGCCGCCGAGCGCCCTCCCGCCCTCGCGCTCGGGGCGCGCAGCCTGGTCCACCCGGGCAGTAGGGCCTCTGGCGGGCCACGCTCTCTCTGACCCCAAAGCCGTGACTTCTCACTGCTGCAACCGCCCCCCACGTCCTCCCCCTCGGCGCCTTAGGCAGACGAGGCGACCCAAAGTCCCAGCCTACTGAGCGCGTCGGGCACCCGGTGCCCCGCCCAGGGACTCCGCTGCCGAGTTTCCTACCCGCCCGGCTCCTGCGCCGGAGGCCGAGGAGAGGGCTTCCTCCACCACCACCCCCTCCCTGCCCGCCCCGCGTGCGGCCCGCGGCACTCACAGGTAGCTGCCGCTGGACAGGATGAGAAAGATCTGCGGGCAGTACACGGAGAGGAGCGCGCCGCGCGGCGACAGCAGGAGCATGGTGGGCCGGCGCTCCTGGAAGGGCTCGGCGGGCCCCGCGGGCAGGGCGCCTGGGCCAGCTGAGGCCGGGGTCTCCGCGGCCCTCCCCGAGGTGGGGCGGCGACGCCAGGCGCTAGGGACCCGGGCGCGCGGGCCCCAGCGCAGTATTCGTCCGTGCTCCGCCGCCAGGGCCGAGCATCGCGCTGGGGCCGGGGCCGGGGCCGCGGCGGGCGCTGGGGCTGGAGTGTGGAGCGAGGGGACGGGCAGTGGGCAGCGGGTGCGCCTCGGCGGCTGTCTAGCCCTCCGTCCGTCGATCGGTCGGAACCGGCTCTGTCGCTCGCTCTGGCTCAAGTCTCCAAGTCTCTCGAGGCGCGCAGCTGCCATTGGACGGGCCGCCCCTACATCCGCCTCCTCTGCGGGCGGGTTTTTTAAAGGGGAGGCTGACCGGAGCGTGCGACGGGAGCCGCCCCCAGGGCTTGCCCAGACTACCTTGGCCCCTATCCCCCCACCTCCCCGCCCAACTTCAGCGAACCGCACAGCTCTGGCCTGCTCTGGAAGGTGCACCTGGGGGGGGGCGGGGAGGCACCGCCGCGTAACCGCGCGGGGGCGTGCGCTCCTCTTGGGGGGCTGTGCTCGGTAGTCTGTTCTCGGGTTCGCATGCATGTGCCTGCACGTGCCTGTGTGTGCCCGCGGGAGCGGGGGCGCGTCTGTGAGGACGCAGGTGTGTGCGCACAGATGCACCGTGTGTGCTGCCCCTTCGGCGGCGTGCGCCCCTGGGTTTGGTTAGGCTGGCTGTGAGTCGCACACGCTCACCCTAACCAACCAGGCCCAGCCAGGCAGGGCTCACCTGTGCACATGCGCACTGGTGTCTCTGTCGGGTCCTGCCTCAGTGCCTTTGGGGAGGCAGTGAGAAGGCACCCCTAATTGGTTCACAGAGGCCCCCAACTTTGGCTTCCCCGTCTCACTTCATTTGCTGTCCTTTGAGGGGTCGGTTGGGATAGGTGTAGGGAGGAGCAGCTTCACAAGGACACGCTTCCTAAACAATCCTTCTTCTTCCAGTGATTTTTTTTTTAAAGGCCAGAAACCCACCTCCTATTTTGAGGTTTTGAGTCCCACCTCCTGTTGTCTGCCAAGCCTGGCTATATAGGAATGATCTTCCAGATACAGTGTAGACCCTGTCAGCTGGGGCGAAAGCACAAGGCAGGGATGATGACAAGAGAGGTCTGTGCAGATATGGCCAGTGGTCCAGGGGTGGGGCACTTCCCACCTTCTAGACCTGGCATGCAGATTCATGCCCAGCATCCAGAAGCAGGGGGCTGCCCCCTTCACCTTCATCCCACCGGATCCCTCTGCCTCTCCCAGGGCAGGAATGGAGCAGGGCCGATCCTGGGACTTTGCAACCCCATTCCAGTGGACAGAGGATGCCCGGATTCCAAGGGCTTGTCCCGGCCCTGGCTTGGCCTCCCTGAGGGCTGCAGCCTGGAGGCTGTCCAGTGCAAAAGTGAGGAACTGTGACTCCACAAAGCCATCTGTTCTGAAATTGCTCAAAATCCAAGGCAAACCGACTCTTGAGGCCCTGATCCCCAAAGGGATTGTGAGGCCGGAGTTCTCCATCCCTGCTGGTCTGGGAGCTTCCCCCAGGGGCTACATGTCTGTGTGGTGGCTGCGTGTGCACGAGTGGGGGGGGGTCCCCATGCATATTCATAAACGTGCACACACAGGTGTGGGTTGGGGGGAGGGCATGATCATGGAATATCCCCCCAGGGCATGCAAATCTCTGACGTTTGCTTGGAACGTCTATGGCCCTAAAACCCACTACCTGGAGGAGTCCCCAGGGTGCTGATACTGAGGTCATTAATAGTGAGGAAAGCTTGGCTGTGCTCACAGGTGTTTATTGGGCCCCCCTCCCCCCAGGGTGCAGGCACCCAGGAGGAATCTTCACAGTACCCGGTGAAGGACGTGCTACTGTGATCCCACTTCTCAGATGAGGGAGGCAGACTAGGAGATTAAAGCCTCCAGCCAAAGCCGCCGATGAGGAGTGAGGGGGAGAAATGAACCCCAAACCTCATCTTTACTGCACTGGACTCCCAAGTCACTAACCCCTCGGGGCACATCTGGGCCCAGCTCCCCCCACCTCCCTGCCTTGTGTGGCCAAGATGGCTTGTAAAGAAAGCAAGACCCCTGCTCCAAGGTGGGCAGGCAGGTAGCGGCCGAGGCTGAGCCCCCTCCCCTTAGCAGATCCCATGGTGGCTCCCTGGCTTTCCCCGATGTGGTTCCACAGGGTGTTTGGAGACTAGGTTTTCTCCTCTCCCCCCAGGAGTGTGTGTTTTAGGGGGCACAGCGGGGACGGGGGGAGCTTCCCACACCAGGACTCCTGAGTGGAGGCAGAAGGCAGCACCTGGCTCTCTTGCCCACTCCCAGAGAGGCAGGCACACAGGCCGGGTCTCACTCACTGATCTCTCTCTACTCAGACATGGGCCACCACCCTGTTTAGGATGGCCAGAGCCACAGTCCCATTTACAGAGGGGAGAGGGAAGCTGCCTTGTTTCCGCAGGTTGGTAGGTCCATCATGTAGGCCTCTGAGCCCTGCAACCAGCCCTGGGAGCCCAGGTTGGGCACCACCTCAAGCTCCTTTTGCTGCCTGGGGTGGGGACGGAAAAGTCACAGAGCACTTCCCACAAGCTGGGGGGGCCGGGTGGGGGGTGTTCTTTTGGATGACTCCTGTTGAGAAACTGGTGCTGGTGCTAGGAGGAGAGGTCAGTGGTGGAGGCCGGAACCAGTCCCAGCTCTGCCTCTTACTCTCGGGGACAAGTGACTTGGCCTCCCTTGCTCAGTTTCCTGATCCTTAAAACGCGGACCTAAATCTAGGATGGCCAAGAGCAGACAAAGCCTTAGTGCTGAGAACCAGAGAGAGCCTAATTAGGGGCTGCCCATTACTTCGGGGGGTACAGCGAGAGGAACTGCAGGGGCTGCTGGAGATCCAAAACAGTGCGTCCCTCCCAACCCCCACCCCCTGGCGGACTCAGTGCAGGCACCCTCACCTCCATAGACAAACACCCAGGGACGCAGCCTACACAGACCCACAATAAACAGAACCACCAGCAGCGGTAGGCATGCCAGCCCAGGCCTGCAGAACTGAGGCTAGGACAACTAGCCTCAGTTGTCTTTCAGCCCTGCCTTTGCAGCCCCCGGCCTCAGTTTCCCCATCAATAAAATGGCGGAGGGGGCGACAGAAGGACCGGCAATAGACGAGATGATTATCAGGTGGTGCTTCTACCTCTCAGCCTGGGAAGCCGCGTCTCCGCCTCCCGCCGGGCTGTTTGCCGGCTCTGCTCTGGCCAGGGGCCGGCCTGCCTCCTGGCCGCCGGCGGCGCACAGTAGGGGCGCAAGGCGCGGCAGGGCCCGCGGCCGTGGGCGCCCCCGAGCGACGTGCACCGCACCCCCTCACGGTCACATCGCTCCCCCCACCCCCACTTTGAGCAAGGCCGAGACAGATTCTGTCTAAAGGAGATCGCAGCTCAACAGGTAAGGACTCGGCTGGGTTCAGGAATGTGGAAATACGACTCGGAGCAGCTACTGCTGCGAGCAGCTAGCGCGGCCCGCCGGGCGCCCGCCCGCCCGCCCGCCGGGCCGCGCGAGGGGGAGCGCAGCGAGAGGGGGCCGGGCCGAGGGCCCAGGGCGGGCGGGGGCGCGGGCCCCGGACCGAGCCCGGGGCGGCCGGGCCCGCCGCGCGGCCCATCCCGAGCCAGCCGGGCGAGTTGTCAAGGCAATTTCAACACGTCCGGGTGATGGATAGGGTCGAAGGGCCCAGGCAGGTGCCCCGGCCTGCAGGCTCGCTGCCGGGGTGCTCGCCCCCCCGCCCCGCCCGCTCAGGTCTTCCCGGCCGCCCGACGCCCCCGGCTCCTGGCCCCGGCGCGCCCTCCAGACGGCGAGCGCTCGGCCCGGGCTTGGCGCCCAGCGCAGCCCGGGGGAGGGAAGGCGCGTCCCACCCCCAGGGCCTGGAGCCCAAACAGGTGAAAGTACGCGCCGGGCACGCTCGCCGCTACCCGCGAGCCTGGCCGCCGCCGTCTGCGCGCCCTGCTCTCCTTCCACCAGCCCTGGCCTCGGCGCACTTCGGGAGTACGTTCGTGAGGCTTGGGGGCGTCTCTGCTGGGCCGGGGCGAGGGTCCGACACACAGGCCAGCCCCGGATCCCCAAGAGCCGCCTGTGCCCCCTCAGGCCCCACGTCTCTGCTGCGACCCTCTGGAACCGGTTCCTCCCGGCTGCCCCTACCCGGGGCTGCGGCCCCTGCCCACGGGGATACTCACCCGAGCTTCACGTAGAGGACGCCAAAGCAGAGAAACACGTAGAAAATCCACTTGCGAAAGTTTCTGTGCATGATCCAGGGAGGGGGGCTGCGCCATAGACAGCGGCGGCCGGAGGGGACGCGCGGGCCGGGCGGGGAACTGGCAAGGGCAGGGGGCTTCGGTGGACCGCTCTCAGCCAGCGCTGCGGCTCGGGCGGCCGGCGACGCGCGGGCACTCGGCGCGCGCTGCCACCATGGTGAGCCCGGGGCGCCGCCGCCGCCGCGTGCGCCTGGGTAGTGACCTGGGCCGGGAACCGCGACCTCGGAGCTGGGCTGAGAGATCGCTGGACACGACGAGCGCCGGCGGGGGCCGGGCCGGAGCACTGCAGGCGGGCGGGCGGGCGCTGCCTCCACTGGGCGCAGCCGCCTGGGGCCGTGCGCGCCTCGCCGAGCGCCGCGGCGGCCAATGTGTCCGCACTTGTCCGCCTCCCCAGGTGACTCGCGGCCCCGGCAAGCGAGCTGCGAGAGAACGAGCGCGCCCCAGGTAGGAGGATCCGCCTCCCGCCCGCCCTCCTCGCTCGCCGCGCGCTCTCTCTCCCTCGCTCCCGGGCTCTCCCCTCCCTTTTCTCCTCCCTCCCCCGCGACACACAAACACATCCACCCCCCCCCACACACACACACACCCCTGCCCAGGCCCGCTTCCTTCCGATCGGCCTCCTGGGACTGGTCAGGGGGAGGGGGATTGGGTGCGCGGAGTTGGGGGGGCGGCCCCCAGGGGAGGGTGCGTCTCTGAAGAGACACCTGCGGTGGGGCTGGCCGCTCCTTTACGCCTGCGAGGGTGGGGGTGGGGAGCGGGAGAACGTCCCGTAGAGGTGGTGGTGGCCACTCGGCTTCCAGTCTCTAGTGGGGGTGGGGGTGGCAGGGCGGAGACCACCCACCCCCATAGCCATTCTTGGCTCGCTTCCCCTCCCCCCAGCAATTATACGCTTGGGGTCCTCCTGGGCCACACCCTTAACCCAAGTATCGCTGCCTCCCTTGCAGACATGGATCAGAGCCCTCCCCCAGCACCCAGGGTCACCCCCACCTGTGCCAGAAAGACTACCTCACAGGGGACAGGGAAGGGACAGACAGGCCTGGCCTGATGCAGGCGGATGGCTCGCATGCCGTCCTGCAGAAGCGTTTGGACTAAGCACCATGACGGGGACGGATAGGAGGATGTTGAGGGGCCCAATTGGCTTTGGGAGAGGCTCCCCGCCCCCAGGGGTTCCCTGCTTCGCCCCTTCCACTGCCTCTGCTCAGTCTCCTCTGCAGTGCCGGGCTCAGTGTTCACGCTCAGAGCCCAGAGCACAGGTCTACCCGACCGCGGTGCCTCGCACACCCTGAGCGGTCCAGTTTGGCACAGCCCCTGGAAGCTCTGTCTGTCCTGAGGGGCAGGCCGGTGACCCGCCGCCTTACGGCCATCCTGGCCAGGATCCTGCGCTGTTCCGCGGGTCCCCAGCCCTGGACGCCCTCAAGCATGCCACTCTTGGGCGAGGGGATGGAATGGGGAAGCGCTTAATTGCCGAGGACCAGCCAGACCCGAGACTCGCTGGGCAAGGGTAGGGTGGGGGCAGTTGTTTTGAGCCACCCTGGGTCCCACCTAGCCAAGCCGCGGCGGGAGGACTCTAGCTCAGAACCCACCTACCCGCACCCCTGCAGTCCTGCTCAACTAAGTGCCCCATTCCCTCTTAATCCTTTTCAATTCCCCAAACCTTTGCCAGGACCGCGGCGCAGGCCATTCCTTGGCCCCTGGATCCGAGGCCCGGTGGTGCCGCTGTACCGGGCCAGGTGGATGGGGAGGGTTCCCAGATGAAAAGGGCGTTGGAAAGTAACCACAGGCAGGGAAATTGAGGCACAGAGAGACGTGAAGGGACCGTAGCAGCCTCATTCACCGTGTTCCCTGAGCCCCAGCGCCCCGGACGTCCCGTTCAGTGAGAACGGGAAACTGAGCGCTGGAACCGGAGGGTAGGCGCGGAGCCCCACGTAGCCGGCCTGCGGCCGGAGCGGGGCCGCTGGGGGTAGGGAGCCGCGGGAGGAGCTGGGCGCGCGGGCGGATGCTGCCACCCGGCGGCGACACCGCGGACGCTCGGACACGGGCCGCGGGCACTGCGGGGCCGGGGTGTCGCGGGCCTCCGGTCCACGCCGGCTGCCGGGCTGCGAAGTGAGGAGTGTCCCCGACCCTATTCTCACAGAGTCGGGGGACCACCCCGCGTCCCCACGGCCGCCAACCCCACGCTCAGTGTCCGTTCATGGGGCGAGTCCTCAGGAGCTGTGGGGCGGTGGTGGGGCTTCCCAGCTCAGGTCGGGGCGACCACGCCAGAACCCCCGGCCCCGCGGACCCCCAGCCGCCCACCCCAATCCGATCCGGAACCTGAGGTTGGGTTGGCTCCGGAAGCAGCCGGGCAGGGCGGGGCGGGGAGAAGGGAGGGTTAAGGCGGACGAGCGGGCGGGACGCCTGGGTTCGTTCTTGTTCTCAACCTGTCTCTGTGCCTCAGTTTTCCCGGGAGGACGGGACGTAGAGCAGCGCCTTTCCAGATGCAGAGGGACAGTAGCGCAGCGTCGTGCTGCCCCCTGCTGGCCGCGGCGGGAGGCGGCGCCGGGGACAAAGGTAGGCGGAGCAGGGCTGGGTTCAAGACCTGTAAGTCGCTCCCTCCACAGTGTGTGATTTCTCCTCGGTGTCTTCAGGGGAGTCTCTGAATGGCTTCAAGATTGGGAGAAATCTGGGGTGGTAAGAGCTCTATGATTCCCCTTCCTCTGTGTGTGTGTGTGTGTGTAGATGGGTGCACACACTAACACACATACCAAACTAGTTCCTGCCCCAGGGCTTTTGCACAACTGTCCCTTCTAGTGCGGTGCTCTTCCCCTGGTTCTGTGTGACCCCAGCGTAAATATCGCACATCACAGGGGCCCACTCGTTCCTCCTCCCAAACATATTCACTGGTATTCTCTATCCTAACAATCTACTGTTCTCTTTGTGACAGAGGACAATATGCCATTACTTGTTCCCTGTCTACCACCAGCCTGTAAGCTCTATGGAGACCATCTTCACATCTGCTTTGGTCCTCGCTCAGTTAAGTGCTCAATAAGCAATTGTCAAATGAACAAATGATTTTCCAGGAGGCAGCCGGCATCCACGACCCATAATGTTACAAGCCATGGAGAGCAGGGACCTGACATCGACTCCTTTAAACCTTGCGATCGAGTTCAAGCACCGTCTCCAGCATCGACCACACCCCGTATTGCTGCCTTTCTCCCGCCTTGCTCTTGCGTCTTGTTACTGGCTTCACTGACAAGTGTTTTCTGAACCCCCACGACTCAGGTTACACTGAGTGTGTGTTGGGCAGTCTAGATAAGGAGCAGGTGCCCGACTACAGGACCTCACGCGTCCTTGTGCAACAGTGCTATCAGACTCATTGCACAAAATGAGGAACTGAGGTAGAGAAGGAAGTGGTTGGCCAAGGTCACACCAGTTGCTGAAGCTGGGACTCGAACCCAGGCCCATCAGGCCCAGAGCTTGGGCTCCTTCCATTGCACATCTCAACTGCCAGGGAGACTTGGCCTGTGCCTCATGGAGTGGAAGATATGGGGCAAAGCACCCCCATCCTGATGCTGGGAGTCCCCAGTTCGATGGGGGAGCACAGTGTGGCACGAGGCCAGAGGACAGCAGGTCCTGAGGAAGGTACCAGCAGCACTGGGCAAACCCCTGGGGTAGTGAGGTACATGAGAAGGGCCTGGAAAGGAGTGGATTTGTGGTAACAGAATTCCTAATGGCCCCCCAAAATGTGCCGCCCTAATCCCCAGGACCGTGAATATGACAAGATAGCATGCCCATTCCCGTGCATGGCAAAGGTGTGACAAGGTTACTAATCAGTTGACTTTTAGTTTGTCAAAAGGGATCATCCTGGTGTACCTGACCTAATCCCACCCACCATGATAAGCAGGGAATATTCTCGTGGCCTCGTGGCAAGGAATTCGGATGGCTTCTAGGAGCTCAGAGCAGCCCCTGGCTGACAGCTGCAAGGGACCAGGGACCTCAGCCACCAGCTAAGCCCCTGCCTTGCCCACATGTGGGTTTGCACATTGTGAGACCCGAAGCAGAGAACCAGCCACACCTTGCCTGGCTTCTGAGCACAGAACTTTGGTGTAACAAATGCATGTTGTTTTAAGCTACTACATTTGCGGCAATCGGCCACACAGCAATATGAAACCAATACAGTATGATGTGGACGTGCAAAGAGAGGGAAGCAGAAATCCAAATGATCGAACAGTCTGAACAAGGGCTGCTGGGTGCTGGGAGGTCGTGAAGCAGAGTAAAAGATGAAGCCAGGAGGAGACAGGGGCTCAGACACAGAGAGGCCAGAATGCCAGGCTGAGGAGCATGGACTCAATTTCATGGGCACTGGGGAGCTATTGGAGATTCATGAGGGAGAGAGGCCCACCCGAAGTGGGCCCTGAATGCAGTGTCCCAAGCTTGCCTGACCAGCCAACCCCAACCCCTGAATCCAGACCTACTTCTGCAGGATGTCCTGGGGAAGGGGCTGGGGATCTTCATGATGAGTAAACACTCAGGTTGCTCCGGAGATCAGCACATTCGGGAAATGCTCCTGTTGGACAAATGTACAAACAGTTGAAAATTCTGAGTCCATATCCCAGATCTTCTCTGTGCACAAGGTTTTCCAAAGCCCCTGTCAGGGGGTAGGGGAGAGTTGTGGGGAGGAGCCCCCCTTTGTGGGAGGGGCAGAGCACCCTCTGGTGAGTGGGGACCAGAGCCCACCTGGGAGAAGAGGGTGTGGGAGACAGATGAGCTCCAGCGGAAGCCCAAGAGAGCCTTCCGGGGAGTCCTCCTGACTGCCCCCTGTGTGCTGCCAAGGGCTCCCCTGGAAAAGGGCAGACAGAGCTTCCCCCTTTCCCAGGGTGGGAATGAGGACCCCACTGCCCACCAGAGCTTGACGAGATTGCATGGGTTGCCCAGAAGCCCAGAGAACTAGAAGGAGTGAGCACCTGGAGCCAGCATCTGTTCACCAAGAATAAAATGAGCAGACTATCCTGTGACTTCTGATCTCTGCAGGGGTTTGGAATCCAGGACGTGAGGCATTTGCTGGCGGCCTCAGGGCCACCTTGGAACAAACTTGCTGTTTGGCTCAAAGGTGGTAGGGGTCGGGTTGGCCCCTGCAGAGGGAAGCATCACCAATTGCTACCTTGGTGACTGGGGGTCCTCCACCTGTCTCAATAATTGGGTCAGTGTCATCACCTGCACTTACAGGTGCTGGGCAAACGAGCAGAGAGAACCCCGCCAACCCCAGCTGAACTGTGATTTGAGAGAGAGAGAGATCAACCTTTACTGTGTCGATCCCGCGTGATGGGGACCTTGTCTGTTATAGCAGCTAGCTTGACTTAACGCTGACTAATGCAGGCCTCGCCT